GATCTCTTATAGTGAGAATTCATTGTCGAAGTGAGCAACAAAAATCAAAAGTTGCTCGATCCCGGGATCGATGGTCGTCCCCGGGAATATATCTCGAAACGAGGATTGAAAAAGGCCAAGATTATGCGAACTCTAATCACAATTGGTATGACTATGTCTTTATATTGCAAAGAGTAGCCAAAATGTTACCTCTTTCTGTTCGAAGAGAGTTTTGAAACTGAACAGAATAGCGCCGTGCAATTTAAGCAAGTTAATCGTGAAATTCCCCCTTTTTGGCTTACCGTAAACGCTGAAGTGATTACCTGAACGACTATGATCAGATTAGCTGCTATCCACAACGATATATATGTCCGCAATATTTGAACATCATACAAATGAAAATTCTTTGTTTACATAATATTCCTAATTACAACTTACTGGAGCTGATAAATTCCTCAAAGACATTGGTGCGAATCAATGTTCAATTTGTATCTTCCATGCTTAATCTCTGTTTAATCAGGGACTAAGAATTGCGAGAAGTAGAGGGTGGACTGGCTACCGATTTGTTGAATTCTACGATTAATATTTGGTTGTAAAGTGTTCTATGAAATTGATGATTTGTTCGCATCGAAGATTTGTGCAAAGCAAAATGAGTACTGTTCAATGAATCGGCAGCATTCATTCAAATCATTCTTCAGCGAAATAATTCACTGCAGTTTCAAAAGGTTAAATGAACGAATTCTTGGCCACGCGATATATGCAACCCAAACAAAAAAAAACAAAAGAAAAAACACCACTAAACCACTCACCAATCAAAAAATGACCACCATCGAAAGATGTTCTGATCGGAAGCCTTTTCGGCCAATCAGCACTCAAGCGTGCACCCAGCACCGTTATATCACCGTACACAGTCAAGTATTGAATTGAATTGAGCGGAAGGCGCATCTTGTAATCGGTAATCTTTTTGTGGTTCGCCAATATTTCGAATTCATTCAAATAAGCTCGAATGATGATATGGAATTCCGCACCTCGTCTAAACGGATTCGGTATTCTTTCTTCCTCACCCCATTTTAGAGTCTATAAACGAGTTATTAGCACACATTCAATTTAAGCAACTGTTCAAGCATTAAGTTGCTTCTCACCTCTGTTATGTTGGTCAATAACCTAATTCTAGCGTTTTCCAGACCATGCAAACGGAACGTTCAACGACATCGAACTGATTGTTCAAATGTGATCGTTAAAACTGAATAAAATTGAATTTTTCAAGTGTTACATCAAATTTGATGAACCTGCACCATTGTATTCATAACGATTTGGCCCTCATCAAAACGAAAATCTAAATGAAGCGCTGCTTCAGCACCTGGTTCCTGGATGCGTCGTGCGCCACGCAGGAGATTCACAGAGAACCTGCAATCGTTTGTCCTTCAACCATCACAGCGATTGTATAGCAATGATGGACCTGACAGTGAATCGTTGTCCTATATAGACGTACCAAAACGATGTCATTCGTGTGGATAAATTTGGAGTCGAAACAATAACACTGATGATTGACAAGGGCATGTGCGTTAATGAAGAATTTTGACGACTTGTTGAATTTTACGAGTCAGCAGGAGGTCACATAGATACACAAGACGGAATCAACGAAACAAAGTCAAATTCACGAAATTACACAAAACCTTTTCGCATCACTGTTCACACGTCCATATACCACAATAAATTGTCCAGGGTTCAAAGGATGGAAAAGCTTAGAGGTGAGTACACCTTGGTCGTGCTTCTTCAACAGTTTCGGTCATTAGAATCAATATATGAAATCATTTGTTGGCTTATCTATGTCAAAAACTTTGAAATACTGATTATGAATTGTCCGGTTATCACCTTCACGGATATTTCCGCTACTGGAGGATACAGTGTATCGAGAGTAATGTGAAAAACATAAGCAGAATTAGGAAGAGTTTCAAGAAAACATCAAATGTTGACAAAAAGCAAATACCAAATTGGTTTACCAGACTCAAGATGGGCATATGCATGAAACCAGTGATGTAAGCATTACTGGTGACAACAGTGAAGCATAAAATTGTAATGAGTAGCAGGACCATTTTGCTACACAACCGCGACCGCACCATTACACTACAACCCAGATACTGCTGGGGTAGCTGCAATGTTTCCAGCTTGATTGCACCTCTCTTATATGGAACATTTTTATGCTAATCCATGTTATTTTCCATATGCAACTTCACAATCTGCATATAATGTAAATTTGTAATGATGGATATAGCAGTTTCATGGTTTGAAGATGACAGAATTGCTGTTGATATTTCTGCATCCAAATTTCATTTCAGCTACGTGCTCGCTGACTTGTTGAAGCTTTCGCTGGAATTTTTTCCAAAGTCGCTTTTCCAGTCGTTACATCAGTCGAAAGTACTTTCTCGCTATAA